GGATACCTCCCCCTCTAGGCGCCGAGTCCGGGGGAAAGGCAAAGGTGAGGAGGGCAGGGGCTGAACCTCACCAGCTACCATCCAGTCCCCGCGAAGGCTTGGACCCAGCTAGAAAGAACTTCCGCGGTGCTGACTCGATGTCTGCTTTCAGCACCGGCTGGGTCACTTCTCTTTTGTAATTAGTGCAAGATCAAGGTTGCCAGTTAAAGTCGGGGATACTAACTAGGGAAAGGAAGTATGGGGAAGCGGGTGACTGGGGCGGGCTGGGCCCACACTGGATACCGGAAAACTCCTGGAGCGTTTAGAGCTCCCTCCGGACCGGACCGGCGGAAGCTGCTGGTGGAGGCGGAGGCCACTGCTGGTGTGGTCGCTCCTGGCACCTCCTGGCAAGATGGCACTCCGAGTCTGTCCTAGTCCAATGAACGCCCCCAGCCTTGCCCCTCCTCCTCCGGACATTAGTCACACACCGAGTTTGGGGAGAAGAGCGGCTGTGGATAAGTCAGTCTAAGAATTCTCCGAGCCACCTTTGCAAAACGCAGCAAGAGCAGCGACTAGCGGGCACGAACCGGGGTGGTGTGTGCTTAGGGGCCAGCGTGCGTGCGTCTCGGGCGTGCGTCTGGGTGGATCGGTGCGTGGCTTGTGCTTGGGAGGCAAAGCGGGCATTTTTCCAAGTCGTCTTAACACAATTGAGGCGCTCAGAGACGTGAAGGCGGGAGACCCAACAGGGATGCGAAGGAAATAAAAACAATTGGGAAAGTGGTGCCAAGTGACTCAGGCTGTGAACTGAGGACGGGGAAATCATCCCGAGGAGGTCGCGGCCACCGCCTCTGGCCAGCTCTTCTGCGACGCTAGCGGAGAGGCTCCCTAGGGAGTTGGTCCCGAGCCAGGTTCAAGCCCATGGGTGCTTCAGGCCCGCCTCCCCCACCCCCCCCGACGGCGCCCGTCGGAGCACAGTCCGGCGGTTGGCGCGAGCTCGCTCTCCCTCTTCTGTTCAGATTCTGCCTCTCTACAGACTTGTTAGAACATGACAGCAACTTACTGGAGGCGGGAGCAGCGGCGATGAAATGAGAGGGGGAAACCAGAACCCCCTTTGCCACCCCAAGAGAGAGAAGTGCACCTGGCTTTCGTATATTACTCTCTAACCTTTACCAAGAGATTGCGCGTGGAAACGTTGCCTGCTTACAAATCAGGCTGCTTTAGCTGTCAAGCCCGTTTCCTAAATTTTTGAGGGCTGAATGTGTTTGTCCGCTGCAATCTACGGGCAAAGTGAACAACGCTCTTTCCAGTGGCCAAGGTGAAGGAAGAAAATGGGGTGTTGAAGATAACCCTATTTCATTTTGGATGATGTTCCCAATTAAAGTTATTTAAGAAGGTCCGGGATCAGGGAACGATTGATGAGGTGTAGGGGGGTGAGGTGGGGGAAAATCACCAAGATTGCTTGCATTTGACATAACGCCATCTTGGTTGAGAGACTTGTAATATTTTTACCCTCTAATCCGTCGTTTCCATCATTTCTCGGTGTCTGAGTACTAGACCCTCTGGCGTGGAAGTACAACGCCAAGCGGGCAGGGGGGAAATTGACGTTGAGCGTTCGGGTGGTGGCACGATCCCTAACAGTTGGGGGGCAGGTGGGATGGTGCGGGGCAGAGAGAGAGAGGAGGAGGAGGAGGCGTGCTTGGTCACAGTGGCATCCCTGGTGTCAGCCTGGCGCTCTGCAACTCTCTTCGGGGAGGACAGGGTTAAGCGCTTAGTCTTACTTTGCCTCTTGGAAAGCTTTGGGTTGCGGCCGCGCCTCCCAAGCATTCTTTAAACCCGAAATGTGGGAGGGACTTCGAGAGGGAGGGAGGCGGGAGGGAGGGAAAGAGGGAAAGACGGCTCCAGGAGGGGAGCGCGCCAGAGAGCTGGGGACGGGGGAGAGGAGGGGCGCGGGAGCGGCAGAGGCGATCCCGTGAATTCATTACTGTAAACATCTCCCGGGGGTGTCAGTAGGGGTGGGTGTGGGGGCCGCAGCGCCTACAAAGCCCGGCCGCGTCGGATCCAGGCAGCAGTGAGGTCGGAGCAGCCTCCGGACCCACGCGGGACCGGCGCGGCACTCGGA